AGCTACCATTAATCGTACCGCTCACCTCCAACCACTACTCCCCATCATCTGGTAGATGCATTTCAAAGCAGTAACGCATATTATATGGCCCTACTCTAAACCTAAAGGTACATTCAATTATGGAAAGGTGAAGGTAGTGCACTTTAGGGAACTCTAGGTGCTTAGTGACCGGACAACCGAAGATAGAAGCAAAACAATTTTCCAAAAATGCTCTCAATAAGACCCTTGACACCTGACCTAGAATCGAGAGTATGGGAGACAATGAAAAGATATTCCAACAAGTGAATCTGGGAAGAGGGATAGACGAAAAACTCAATGCAAAATCCAAAAGATTGAACTGAATTTCTCCACGTAGTACATGAACGCCCACCACGTACTTGCTTGTTCCATGCGCCCCTTGGCCCCGCCCAGGTGTCCTTAAACTGTCCACAAGGTGCGGCTTCCGAAGATTTGAATCCCTAAGGAAACTGAGTTTTCATGTATGGAACTTTGTGCGCTGCATGCACAGATCATACAAGGCATATGTATGCGGGAAAGAAAGAAAGCAATTTCCGGCGCACAGTGCCTTTAAGGCTAAACATCACCCATAGAATTCCGATAGAACCTGGGAGATAATCCGGACCTTCCTCCAATTACATAGAAAATCCGGACCTCCATAGAAAATAGGAGATAACCTCGAGAACATAGAACACATCCGCATGCAAATTAAAACAATAGGTTCAAAGGACAAGCGAAAGGAGACCTGCCCGAAAACGAAGCAAAATTTGGACGAAATTTGCTCGGAGAGTTCTTCCTCGTCCTTGAAAGGCTCTGCAAACACTGAAAAGGGAAGGGTATCAATCACTTCAAAGCACAACACCACAATCACCACACAAACAGATAGCACACGATGGCACACATAGGAAGGATATACATGCACAATTCTCAACTAAACCTTTATTTGTTCGATCAATAACACCATCAATAAAAAACATCTTAGGCGGGGACATACAAATATACAACTTTTTACAAAGTACCACAAAAATTTTAGGACTAAATATGCAACACGAGGTAGCTAGTTGTACAGTGAAACATCGTAGCTCATAAAAGGACCATATAAATGTACACATTACTGTTATTCTTACCAAATTAAGTTTGAAAACTTAAGTTTCCTACCCAAATTTTTGAAATATAAAAACCAGTAAACTATACAACGTCCAGTTTTTTCAATTCTGCAAAAAGTAGGCTTTTCAGCGGTATAACGCCCAATCAGAACATTCAACCAGGAAATTCGCTGCGAACTAGCAATAATGCAATTCTGCGCAGTTTTTCATCAGAAACCAAAATGGGCTTGGGCAACCAGGCTCGCCCTTTCTACACACAATTCCATGAAAATCTTCTTACCATTGGGAACTTATGTGATGGACAAAATTTATTGGGGCTGTTTGCTAGCCTTTCTCCAGGAGAACGCGTCACACTCCCTCGATGCTATCCTAAGGTTGGGCAGAAAGGGTTGTGTCACAAGACTCACATTCTCTGTGTTTCTACCGTCTGGGCAGTTAGAGCAATTCCTCTCAAGGATGAGGTACTCCTACGGCAGAGGGTCTATACATAGGATACCAATCGGTCATGGGTGGATCCTACAGCGAAGCCCCGTCTCACCCTCCCTGGCCGCGTGAGGATCGCATCGAGCGAGGGGACGCGTCTTTTGAGGGAGGAACAGCATATGGCCCTGAAGGATTCGGTAAGCCTCGTTGAGCTCATGCGTGACGGCAGATGACGTCATATTCTGGAGACGGCAGGGGCAGTGAAGGAGTGCTTGCTTCTGTTTACGGAGGAACAACTAAGGAATATAACGCCATAAAACTTTCATTAACATCGGCTCCCTGTGTGACGAAAAGTTCGATGATGTGCGCCATGGGCTGAGTGTCTCTTTTTTTTTGGCCACCCCTGTATATCATTTGAACGTTCTCTTCCTGCTACTACTCGCACCATTTCATTCTGGCCGATCATTCGGCCAACCAGCCGAACGATCGGCTAGCCAGCCGATTTCAACCAGAATGGAAATGGTGGCCCCCTCAGTTGTTCAATACGTCGATTTCGACATTTTCCAGTGCTTGTTCTCTCCATTTAGGAGAGTTTTCCAAAATTTCTCTGACCACGAATTGAATCGGGTCGGATCTTATTAGTACCTCAAACTTGGGTTTGCTGCATCGGCTAGCTGGCCGATCATTCGGCCAACCAGCCGAACGATCGGGTAGCCAGCCGATTTCAACCAGAATGGAAATGGTGGCCCCCTCAGTTGTTCAATACGTCGATTTCGACATTTTCCAGTGCTTGTTCTCTCCATTTAGGAGAGTTTTCCAAAATTTCTCTGACCACGAATTGAATCGGGTCGGATCTTATTAGTACCTCAAACTTGGGTTTGTAGAATCGGCTAGCTGGCCGATCATTCGGCCAACCAGCCGAACGATCGGGTAGCCAGCCGATTTCAACCAGAATGGAAATGGTGGCCCCCTCAGTTGTTCAATACGTCGATTTCGACATTTTCCAGTGCTTGTTCTCTCCATTTAGGAGAGTTTTCCAAAATTTCTCTGACCACGAATTGAATCGGGTCGGATCTTATTAGTACCTCAAACTTGGGTTTGTAGAATCGGCTAGCTGGCCGATCATTCCGCCAACCAGCCGAACGATCGGGTAGCCAGCCGATTTCAACCAGAATGGAAATGGTGGCCCCCTCAGTTGTTCAATACGTCGATTTCGACATTTTCCAGTGCTTGTTTT